GCTTCATGTCATTTTCCCTGACCATACTTAGTAATGAACTCGTGTTTGCTATTCAGGAAGGAGTAGCAATTGAAATTGCTGAAGCTGTTGTTGGAGCCTTGAAAGGCGAGCTTGCTGCTACTGCAGTCAACGCACCAATGGTTCCTGCTGAGGTATAACTTGAAATTAGGTCTTGAATATGAGTGGGATCTGTTGAATGGTGCCTTTTGTTATTTTTAGGATGCTCGAGGGTGTTAGAAGAGGGGAGATTTTTTTCTTGGAGATTGTATATTTAATGCTGTAATTTTTTTTTTGCAGGTTCTAACAGAGCTAAAGCCATTTGTGGTGCTTGCTGAGAAACTTGGTAGACTGGCTGTCCAATTAGTAGCCGGAGGAAGTGGTGTGAAAAGTGTGAAGGTGACCTATGCTTCTTCTAGAGCTCCTGATGATCTTGACACGAGGCTGCTCAGGGCCATGATCACCAAGGGTCTGATTGAGCCTATATCCAGTGTGTTTGTGAACCTGGTTAATGCTGATTTCACTGCTAAACAGAGAGGGCTTAGGATTTCAGAAGAGCGTGTCATTTTAGATGGGTCTCCTGAGAGTCCACTTGAGTTCATCCAGGTTCAGATTGCTAATGTAGAATCGAAGTTTGCTAGTGCCATATCGGAGACCGGGGAGATTAAAGTCGAGGGACGAGTGAAGGATGGAGTACCTCATTTGACAAAGGTAGGATCTTTTGAGGTGGATGTGAGCTTGGAAGGTAGCATCATCCTCTGCAGACAGGTCGATCAGCCGGGCATGATCGGCAAAGTGGGGAGCATTTTGGGTGAGGAAAATGTCAATGTCAGCTTCATGAGTGTCGGAAGGATTGCTCCGAGGAAGCAAGCCGTGATGGCAATAGGAGTGGATGAGCAACCCAGGAATGAAACTTTGAAGAGGATTGGCGACATTCCGGCAATAGAAGAGTTTGTCTTCCTCAAGTTATAGTTTGAGGGTCTCCGACTTTGTTTCCCTTCTCTGCCCATTTCAATTGGGATTGTTACAATTTACTCCCTTGTAGCACTCAGTTTTGGTAAAATTTCATTCTTGAGTTGTTCTGTTGTAGCCCTAGTTGTGGTAGGTAGAGGGAATAATTCAGCTTTCCTATGAAGGGTGTTTCTCAAGGGTGTCTCCCTTATTGGGTTATCTATATATTATATGTACTGAAATATCCTATTTTACTTGCAGCTCTCTGTGCTTTATGAATGTGAATTACCAATGTAAACTCATGGTTAGTTGTGTTAACCTATAAATAATAAATGCATTATATCCTGTTTTTAACTTTGAAATTTTACAATAATTAGCTACAATCAATTATTGCCAAACAGTAGAATATTCTTATTGTAAAGCTGGTAGATTCAAACTTTACACCCACTTCCATCTCAAAGCATAAAAGAATTAAAAACTTAAACAAATGGCTAGGGTTTGAATATTGAATTTTGCTTCCCTTCAAGTAAATTCATCATAAAATTGTGAAAAAGACATGCTTTAATCTACCCTTTTCTAATCCAGTAAATTCACAAATTGTTTGCTGTTTATATCATCTATCAAAAATTTTCTGGTAAAGGAAAGATTTGACAGCCCAAGGTAAAATCAACCTAAATTTATTATTGGGTCTAAGAATTGTTATCCTCTCTCTTCATTTTAACTTCTATTTTCTCAAGAAGAAGCAAATGTATACACGATCTCTATTGTCTTTTGCCTTTCACATTCTCCACAAATAGCTGGAAATATGCAAAATGGGAAAACAAGGCTTGACCACTGAGA